AAAAAAAAAAAAAAAAAAAAGGATCTAAATTTGTACCTTCTATTTTTATAGTCATTAGAAAAGCAAGTCCCTGTTTGTATCTTTTGAGTTTGATCAGAGAAGTGCTATTTTATCCTCGTTTGGACTTTCATATATTCACAGTCGCACTGACAGAAAGGCAGAAGGCCAAGCTAAAGGTAGCACAGCTGAAGATGTCGAAATGACCAGAATGGACAAGAACAGAAGTGGGTATATCAGCGAGACAGCTCAAGTCAAGTGTTTTGGAAATGGTTTGGGCATGAGGGTGGGTTTGCACAGGAGGGATAATAGTTATATTGGACAAAAGATGTTGAATGGATGCAGTGAAGGAGGATGTGCAGAGGCTTGGTGTAACAGAGAAGGATGCTACAGATACGATTAGATGGAAATAGATGCTGTGGTGACCCCCAAAGTGAAAGGAGGACTGTGATTTATTTCTTTTATCTAATAATGTTAATAAAGCTTCTTTCTGGCCACAGCAGATGAATCTGCATATTATTCTGCAAATTTCTATGCCAGAAGTACTTCCTGATGCAACCCTCTCAGGGATGATTTCCAGTAATGTTAATATTAAACTATTACTGATGGTAAAAATAAACAATAGGACAGATGAAAGTAAAGAGGCTGTGCCAGATTTACTAGATGGGGCAAATTGGCATGTGAGCACAATCTAGAAATAGTAATGATAGTTGTGGTTAGTTTTGCAGGTAATTTACAAAAGTTTTGCTGTTTTCAAAATAAAGTCAGAGTTCATTTCAATGTAACTGCCAAGACCTGTGCAATTTAGGTCACAAACTAAGAGATGATATTCAGCTGCAGGTAATTTACTAACAAGAAAGGCACAGCTTGTTAATTGTAATCAGTAACATATAAATATAGGTCATACGTATGTTGCATGTAGGCCTACATTTAATGTAATTAAATGTAGCCTGGCAGAGAGAGTCGTTTTAATGAACACCGGCTTCAGTAATTGAAAATATCTGATAAATGTTGGCACAATTATGTAAATTGTGTGGCACAAATGTTAGTAAATCAATTTGTATGCTTAAGTTAAATATTCTCCATCTTATATTTTGTGCATTGAGGAAGGAACCTGATGCGTTTGACAGAGGGTCCATCACTGCACTCTGTTTGTAAATATAGAACGATATCTAATGCTAGTTGGTGCTGGTGGTACGAGTTAGTGAATCTGGCCCTATGGGAGAAAACATCAAGGTGAAATTCCTTAGCATGTGGCGATGCATCATCTTTTCAATAGGCACCTCTTCACAACATCTTTCTGAACTCAGTAGGAGGCAGCGGGGATAGCGCTCAGGTCAGTGAAGTATATCTTCCCGCCATTGTGTCTCTTTTCCTTCTTTTCCCTCTGTCTCCCTCTCACCATCCATCAGGATGTCACACCTCTAAAAACATCTTCTGTGAGTGAAGTTTGCCTCGGTTTCCACAGCAGGGCTTACAGACATCAGGATGGATGCACCAAGCATCAGATGCCTCGGAGCATTGTGTTAGTTTGGCAGTTGTACTGTTAATGTGGTTTTAGAGTCATGGCAGCTTTGTCAATACAGCCAGTCCTCTCCCTGCCGACAACCGTGGGCCTGACAATGCATGGTCATTACGACAAGTGCTCAATCTGCCGGCATGCAGGAGCCAAATAAACAAAACAGGCAAATAGCAAAAGGAATCTGCCGTGCTCTTGATATGATTTGGATGCAGGATGTTTTCAGCATTTCACACTCAAGTGATTCTTGGGATATTTTTTTTTTCTCCAGTGGGTGGAAAGGGGAAAGCCGATTACACAGTGCGTGACAGTGTGTACATGACTCTGCAAGTTTATGCATTTAAGTGTGCATTCACCTGTGCACAGTATTATGAGTATTTTGCAAGTTCTGACACAGGCAAACATGGCAGCGAGCGGTAATGTGCTCTGTTCTTCCAAAAAACATTGGAGGCAGATGATCAGCTAGCAGCACATGGTGTGTCGGAATATGGTTCATTACGGCTCTTTGTTTTTTGTTGGCAATAGTTTCATAGGTATGCTTGTTTGGCGACCATACATACAGGATTTGGCTTTTCTTGGACTTTTGGTAATTTGTAATTTGCTTTAAACTCCAGCAAGGATTGTTGCAGATTCTCTGCATGTCTGTGAAGTAAATACACGCCCATGCTATTGCTGTATTGCTTGTATGCTTATTCTATGCAGTGCCACTGGTAACGCTGAGCTGTGTGCTTGGATTTTCCTCTTTTTCTTAAATTGGAATTTTAAAACAATATTTATTGAATATAGTAAAGACAGATTCCAGTATTCTTTAATTTATTTAAATCTGAGAAGTCTTTAAGCTCAACAAAAGAGCTTAAACAACTCCTTTCACATCCTTTAAGGCTTCATATACTTTAGATTGTTGGGACAGCAAAAAGACATATTTATTGCATTAACCTCCTACGACCTGGCATCCACATATGTGGACATCACATTTTGAGTTATTCAGACCAAAATACTCTACAAGGGCCTGATATCGAGGGGTGGGTTTTGATTATTGATTAAAATCGATTCTGGCTTGGATAACGTGATATCGATTCATTAAAATCCTGAATCGATTTTTCAATATAAATTTATTTTGCCCCAAACACCAGAGTCTCAGGTTAAACCTCACAAAATTTCAACAACCACCAAACAGCTAAAACAGTAAATGATAGCAGGAACCCGGATTCTGCACAAAGACGTAAACACAAAGCGCGGACCCGCCGACGCATCAGAATCAGTGACATGTCGCATTTCTCACCCGAAGGCACGGACACGGTCGGGGCTGAAAGCCGACAGCTCACTGATTCTGATGTCTCGGCGGGTTCGCGCTTTGTGTTGATGCCCTTTTTGCGCTGATTCTAAAGCTGCAGGTTTTATCTCTCTCCAAACAATATTGACTGCAAAAGAAGATCCAAACTACGCTTCACATAAACATCGTCATGAATTCCCTCTGACTTTTGCTGTTTTGCTTCCACCACGATAAAAATCACACTTCATGCACAGCTCTCTCTCTGTGTACTTCAAGAACAGTTTCCCGTCTAAAAATCTCTGTTTTCTGCACAAGTTGCACAAGTCTACCGTTGTTTACAGCGCTATCGGCCGCTGGTTTTTTTTTTTTCTTCTTTTACTTACTTCCGAAAAGAAAGCCTAATTTCTGCTGTTCAATACTGAACAAATTTAAACTTTAAACTAGGCAAAATTGCAAAACTCTTAGGCGTGTCTCTAATCAAACCTCTGTAACTTTGCTCTGCTTCACTTCAGCAGCAGGTCATGTTCATATGTTGATTAAGGGTTTTCTTTCGTTTTTGATCTACTGCAGAATATTTTTATAAAATCCCAGGCCAGGAAAATCACCTCAGTTAGTTTTATCCTCAGTTACTTTGACACAAAGGCATTTGATAAAATCTGGCAAGTGTCAGCTTTCTTTTTATAGATATAAAAATATGGAAATGTAATGCTGCATGAACTGAATTATAATATTTCTGACTGTCTAAGGCAAAATTTCCCCGATTCGAATAGATTCTAGAAATCAGTGACGATACCCAACCCTACTGATATCCACTTATGAGGACATTATACTGCCACTGTTCTATTGAAATTTTAAACAAATGTCCTCATATATGGCTCTCATTTTTCTTAGAAACAAAAATCAGGTAGAAAAAAAAAAATCTGGTAATTCTTTCTTTTTACATTCATCGGGTCCCAATATGCCCAAATATCAAAGAGAAATTAAAAATGCATGCCGTGGAAGAGTTCGGGTCTTAGGAGGTTAAATTAAATTCCCCTCAATGAGAAGAGAAAAGAAACTTGAGGGTTTAGAAGTGTTTGATAAATAATCAAATGAAAAACATGAGCACAACAGATAATAAGCGGCATTTCTCACATTTCCTAAATCTGCTGTCACAGGTTTGTTACCTGGTTGTTTGCAACTTATTTGCTTACCACAAGAACTTTATAAAAAGACACACGCAGCAGGAATGTAATGTTTCTGTGGAACATTGATCCATTTTCATTTACCTACATACATGCACTGCATCTGCACATTATCAAACACATGGCCTCACAATGAAAGATCACACAGAGTGAAAAAGCAAACCGAATTAATTTTCTAACGTGATATCTGAATATTCCTCCATCAAAAAAGCTTTCACCTCTGACAAATTGCCATCATAATTGTGTTGATTTTTCCAGGTGAACACACACATCTCCATTTGCAAAATTAAATTGGTCAAAAGTAATCAAATTATGCTGCAGGTGAGTGCAAGTGCTCATTTGCTGCCGTGGTAACCGAGCACATTAACGTGATTGTTTTGTCAGGTGAGTTGACGCATCATTAACCCCCCCACCCCACCTCACCCCCCTAACATGCACAGACCCCTCCAACTCCTGATGTACTAATAGGGTCATTAGCAGGAGACAAAATTCCCCAGGAACACATATCGACACAGGCCCGATGTGGAAAACTGGGACTGCAGCTGGAAAACATCTGTGACAGGCGGAGCCTGCTTGCTAACCTGGTCACAAAACTCACAGTGAGGCCCTCCTATATAAGAAACATCAAAGCTTGGTTTTGTGTTTCCCCTTGAATGAAAGTGGGAAGCGTGCTGAGGATGCAGAGCAGTGGTAAACAGAAGAACAGAGCTATCAGCATTCAATGAAGCCAACGTAAATTAAAGTCAGTCAAACAGCAACATACTGATATTCAAATATTAATAGATCCACGAAACAGATTTCAGTAAACATGACACATAGCTACAGTGGCTTTGAAGTACACATGTTGGGATTCAGGTATCTAGGATGCTTTACATTAATAGTACATGACAGCATTTGGTGGAGGATTTCTTCACGCCTGCTTAGAGATCTGAAGTGCACAAATTTACATTTAAATATCTCTAAGTGTATTAGAGCCAAGAGGACAAAAAGGCAGAACAGTATGCCCAACAGTAAAACAAAACCAAAACCATGTGTCTTTAAAGTTGAAAAGCAGTCATTTTAGTGGCTACATGAATTCAAGCAGTGGTGCTCATTGGGGAGCTGACTTTGCCTCGAATTTCCTTTGCTGCGTTTGTCTTTTAAATGTATCTGATAAAATTGTAAAGTCAGCAAGACCTTGAGTCTCTTACTTGATCCGTATACACTTCTAAAATGATGTCCATCAATTTAATAGTACGCCCGCATTTTGGAACAAAACAAACGGCAAGTGGCAAAGGAAAAACAAGATAAGGGTTAAGACTTCATCATTCAAACCTGCACAATAAATACAGGAGTTGTTTGTGTGTAAATGCCACACAATGGGTAAAAGTCAACAAGCAGACAGATGGAGGAGTGGGGGGTGACAGGAGGGCGTATCCCAGTGGGTTAGATGGTTTCAAAGATGGAGAGGATCAAAGTATTGGAGATCCATTCTGGGTCAATGGAGCTGAGTTTCCAAGCTTTGCCCTCCAGTTCCTGTCATGCAGCTCTCAAGTCTGACACTCAGAGGGTGACAGTGGGGTGTAGGGAGGAGGGTTTGAAGAGGTCAACTCACAGAGTGGAAGAAAAGGACAATACAGCTACAGCAATCCTTTTAGGACACGCAGTCTGCTTATAAAAATTCATGTTGAGAAATGTGCTTATTTATAATAGCCAGACAGTTAAATGAGGTCGATAGAAATTTAATCATTGGGTATAGAATAAGATCCAAGAAGTATTTTGTCTCTCTCTTTAAAAATCTTTAAGAACAATTAGCATTGAAGCCCAAAACACAGAGAGCTCACTTTTCTCTCTTAAATCTATTTTCATAAGAACAGCATGTAAATTAAAAATAAATAAAAGTTGGCTTAATATTTATTTTTCTATTCTGTCCTTTTGGTGCTAATGTTTAGTCACAACTTTAAACGGTAAAGCTTACTTGGTTTTGGGTCTCACACCCTCCCGCCTAATAAAGGAGACATGGAAATGTGTTTAATTTAATCTCGCTTTAATCAGGCATCAATTTTATTCATTGAAGGCTGTTAGTGATAAATAGCATACCATTCTAACTGATCAATTTTCTAATCTCTTCTCTATTAGCTGTAGTTTGAGCAATGTAAAAGAGACTTGGCAGCAGATGAGGATCAAGCATATAAACGTTGATACATTTTCTGCATTGCCAACTGAAAACAGGAAGATTTCTATAATAGTGTGATACACAGTTTGCACTGCTGTGACTGTAAAGCTCTGCTCCATTCAGTGGTGATAGTAAAACCACTGGGGCGATCGTGGCTCAAGAGTTGGGAGTTCGCCTTGTAATCGGAAGGTTGCCGGTTCGACCCCCGGCTTGGACAGTCTCGGTCGTTGTGTCCTTGGGCAAGACACTTCACCCGTTGCCTACTGGTGGTGGTCAGAGGGCCCGGTGGCGCCAGTGTCCGGCAGCCTCGCCTCTGTCAGTGCGCCCCAGGGTGGCTGTGGCTACAATGTAGCTGCCATCACCAGTGTGTGAATGTGTGGATGACTGGATATGTAAAGCACTTTGGGGTCCTTAGGGACTAGTAAAAGCGCTATATAAATACAGGCCATTTACCATTTTACCATTTAAAATACAGTGTCACATTGCATGACTGAGTCGAACTGTCAGAGAGACGGCCCAGTATTTGACTCCAGGATACTTTGGTATGCAGATGAGTTTAAGGTGAATGCAAAGTGTACCCGATCCAGTAACTACAAAACAAGTCTAAATCATTACCCTCGACAGTTTTTCATATGGCTTTGTTCAACAAACGTATCTTTTATAGCCAAAAAGCTCCACTTTGGTCACATCTGTCCAAAGGACATTGTTCCAGAGCTTTTGTGGTTTCTTCAGATGCAACTTTGTAAAACTAAACTGTGCTCCTGTGTTCTTTCTAGAGAGAAGAGGCCTTCTCCTGGCATCCCTTCCTAAAAAGCCTTACTTGTCTTTTTCTAATTGTACTGTCATAAACCTTAACATTTAATAATCTCTGACCATTGTACACTCTGCTCTGGGGGTGAATTTGATGGGGCATCCATTACTGTAATGCAGTCCTGTGACAACATTCTTTACGAGATCATTGTATAAAACATATTCCTACAGCAAAGAGTCTATACAACACTTAACGCATAGTATAAATAAAAGAATCTGTGAAAACATGGCATTTCCTGTGGATTTTAAACCAAAGCTCTAAATCTGATCTGCTCCGTGCAGCTTATGTCTATTATGATCTAACCAGGTAAAGAGAGCCATCGTTGTGACACTAAAGACTTTGGCTTTAGGCTCAACAAAGCTTGTTAACCTATTCATTTTCTTTCTAGCATACCCCTCTGGTCTCACTCTATGAGCTGAGCTAATGTTACAAACATCTTGGCCTGTCAACACAAAAACAGTTTCAGCTGCATTTTGCACTTGTTGTTCTTACGTCTGACAGAACAAATGCATTCTTGTTTTCATCAGTCCAGCTGTCAGTATGTAACAGCTTGCATTGCTCTTTCTGTATATCCATGAACATAGCTTGAAAACACATTTCACATATTTATGTAGAAGCCTCTATTTGAGTATTTTTCACGGTATTATTTTTATTGGAGTTAGAAATGTACATATCAAGTCCCTGTACTGAGGAACACCCAGGGGATCATTTCCTGGTTTCACATACCCTAACATTGTGTAATTACTTAAAGAGACCCAAACCATTTTGGAGACTAGGCCCTAAAGATGTTGATTTCTGCTGTAAATGTTGGCATTTAAACAAAGGATTCAAGAATTTACGCACTTTTTTTTCCCCTCACTTTTGAAAGCAGTCTCAGAGGGTCCCTATCTAGACACAGTTTTAACAGGTAGCTATACATGTAGTAGAACGACATGAAAGTCGATCCATTGTTTTGGTCCTGAGGTAAAAAAACAGACAGTTGCTTTCCAATTTCATTGTTACTTCTAGAATTAAAAAGAAACTGCTGCTTAGCGGTTTTAAAATTGATTTTTAAAATATTTAAGTGTTCACAATGGAAATGCTAAAATGTTGTTTCCAAACAACAATTGTGCAAAGAGAGATGTTAGGCACATTCTGACCAGCTTTGTGGATCTACTAAGCTGTTCAATAAAGCTGCAGAATATTTCTATAAATCCTTTGTTTGCTCCCTGCACAATCATACTGCATCAAGGAGTAATATGGCAAACGAGGCTTAACTAAATTAGGAAAGTGTTTTATTAATGTGTCAACTCTTATCATTTTTTCCCATAGTGGTGTATTTTTGCCCTATTCAGGGATAATAAAGTTGAATTTTTCTTCCCTTTCGGGAGAGGGCCAACGTGAGAATGATAGAGCAAAATGAGCAAAAGATGCTTTCTCAAGAGAGGGAACAAGGCAAAGAGAAGCCTTTTAGAGGGGTTTGGCTTATCTCCCAAATCTCTCCCCAAGTTTGACCATCCATTCAACATGTGCTTTATGGAATGACAGAATTTCACTGTGGATACTGTCCACAAAAACCTGTGGAAGGTGCTGTGGATTTTGAACTTCTAGTGGCATTGTGATGTGCCAGGATTAAGATGCAGCTGAGGTGAGGAGGGTATCAGGGTTCATAAACTCAGAATCGCCTCTACTTTTTACAGATAATGTGGTTCTGATTTGCACTTCAGATCTGGAAATCTGCGAATGATGGTAAAATGGAACATGAGATGGGTAAGTAATACTGGTATGATACCAAATGATTTTCAAACATGAATCAGAAGGCAAGATTGTATTCCACTTTTCACGTTTAGTCATTACCTCTATATTATGACCAAGAGAATGAAAATGTACTTTATCTGAACTTCATTTTGGGTGTATCCAACTTTAGAGAGCACAACACAAAACTGCTGTCTGAGAAAATAGTCAGCTGTGGTACTTTTGGCATCTGTGCATGTTTTCCTGCAAAGCCCCTAGATCTAAACTCCAAACTCACTGGAGGATTACATGATGTATCTGGCTTGGGAATGCCTCAGGATGCTACACGAGAAGCCAAAAACATTGGTCACAATATCGTCTTAGACCTCTGCAATCATGACCTGACTTTGGGTAAGAAGATGATGATGGATGGATGGAACAAGTATGGATGGATGGATGCCTACAACATTTGTCTTACTGTGCAAATCTGTTTTTGTTAACAAAGAGGTGTTACCTTGGGCTCCGTTCTTAACAATTCTCTAACCACTGATGTATCGCCAATTTTCTACTTGTTTTCACACATAATTCATTTTAGAAACTTGGTTCTGCTTCTTATCAAAACTGTCTTTGAAGTCTTCCTTTCTCTCTTTGTCTGTCACATTGCTTTTTCTATTTTTACTCTTGAAAGACTTAACATCTTACAGTACCTGTATTTCTCTCTTTTTTCCCCTTTTCTCATATATTCAAGGGCCTAACTGTGCTGCTGAATAGGCAGATTAGTGCAGGAAAAGGCGGCTGTGAATAGTGCTGTGCTTCTGTTTCTATTGACCCACTATCTAAGCTCAGGAGAGCGCCTGAGAAGAAAATGTAGCCTACAGTCTGTCTTTCTCCATCCTGAACTCTGCTGCATTGAACTGAGAATAGTTGCACTCTGCTAAATCCACTAATATCATTGATAGAGCCGCTTTATGTACCAAATAATAAAAAAGTGGGAGGGGGGGGGAGACACCAGCTGCAGCACATGGAGCAGAAACGGGTAAAACTGACATGAGAAAGTTCAATTGAATTGGGATGCAGAGACGGAGAAGTGGTGGCTGGAGCCAAAAATACGATCTCTTGTTATTTTTTTCCATTCTCCCCTATGTCACCCATCCTGTCAGCCTTTTTCTCCTGCTCTGTCCATCATGTCAGGCCACTGTGACTTTGAATCAGTCAAACAGTCACACAGTGGTCAAGCTGTCGCGCTGAGCTCTTAGAGGCAGGCACCATGTGTTAGTTGTCCACTGCAATTTGGCTGACAACAGCTGTCAGCCGGTCTAACTGGAGTGGGTCGCCCGCTATTTACTTGACTTTTCAGGATTTCTGGTTGAATTATTGGACCAGAAAGTGAATCTATTATTAGAGAAATGGATTTGGTTTTACACAGTGATCTTTGTGTTATTTGCAATGTCACTGTATTTCTGTCTAGCTGGATCAAAATGAAGAAACAAGAGCTTGACACGGGAGCTTTTGGAGGCCTCTTCTGCTATCCAGAAAGGACGATTCACATGCAGAGGTTAGCTCATGCAGCATGATAAAAACTCACACCATCCTGTGATACATGGAGAGTGCAGTTACACTGTAGCGGTGCAGGAAAGTAGAACTGCTCTGCAGCTCATGCAGTGCAACATGTCACACTCTAAAACTCATCAGATTCCCAAATTACCTCTCCAAGCAGAAAGAGTAACTGCTTGGATTTAATCAGCGAAAAATGAGACTGCAGACTTGGACACTAGACTCACCAGGAAAGCAGGAGCTTTGCCTTTAGGCGTACGCTCTCTTTATCATAAGTTTAGCAGAACCCTGGGTAATGCTTGAACAATATGCCAGTTTATCTGTGCGCCATCTATTGCTTGCTTTGAAAGAGGGTGAAAACCAAATCAAATTCGGCTCAAATAAAGAAACCTCTTAGAACAGCGTAATGGCTTAATGCTTAAAATGCGCCATTTGTCGCGTAGTTGCTGCAGTATGCACCAGATGTGCTGCAGGTACAGTAAATGACGTTTTTCAACTTAGGGACTGATTGCAATTAAATGTCTTCTCTGCTGGAGTCTGGATAATGAAAAGTGAGACAATTACTTTTTCAAAAAAAAAAATCCACATATCAGCTTGGAATGACGTCTTTTGGTGATTTACAGAATATCTTTAGTTGAGTTGGAGGGTGATGTAGCTCTTCTCAGTAGGTGCTTTTTGATCAGTGTTTTTTGTGCTGATTATGTAAGACTAAGTGGATGCTGGACAGTAACTACATACCTTCCACTACATGGAAATCATGTAGATCGAAGGCATTTTTCTCTTGACATTTGCACTAACAGGAACTCTGAAGTGAAGTACTAGTTGCTGGGTAGTGGTTGGTAATGCAGTGTCACCTTGTTGTGGTCTTTTCATTTTTTTTCAGCCTCTTCCTTTTCTTTCTGTGCTTTTTGTGAAGTGTTCTCTATTTTGCTCTCACCTGTCAAAACTATAATTTCCTCTGGCTTTTTTAATAGACTTCAGGTTATTTAGTTGTGTTTTTTTAAAGGTTGATGTTAAGAGCTCTTGTTTTTGTTAGCGTTACGCCTTTTTGTCCATTTAATGACCAATTAGCATACACGTATCTACACCAGTTATAGTGCACCTACGTTATATTAAGCAAGATGAGTAAGACTACAAAAATGTAGCACCAAAAAGTAGAATGGTTCCCAGGTCCAGCAGTGTACACACAGGAAAAAAATACCAGGTACTACGTTGTACAGTTACTAGAATTATGGATAAGTTCCTGCAGGCTGAAAGAACCTGTGTGGAGGACATTTTTTATCCCCCGCCTTCGAAGAACAGTAATGGAACATTACAGAATAAGGAAAGAGTAAGCAGGATTTATTCTACTTTTTTTTTTTTTTTTCTTTACAGGAAGCTGAGAAACTGTGAGCTGTAAACATGGGGCTTCATTTTGTTTCCCATTGTTCTTTCCTGCTCTTACATGTAAAGGGTCAGTTAATGGTAACACCTCGAGGGAGCAGAGCAACGCAGGACAAGAAGAAAACAAAGATGATGCGAGCTAAAATGGGCACGCTCATCATAGATTCCTCTTGAAGTGTCTTTCACAGAGGGTGGGTGGAGCAAGCCTGCAGTGATTTCACCTTCATACATGCTAACATCAATGGGGGACTGCTGTCTGACCCTACACAAGAGCCTCTCTAGGGAGCATAAGGTTGGCAGGAGAGGAGCATGAGTGTATAGTAGGCGGGAAATTTGTTGTTACTGAAGCACTTTCATGTGGCGTTCTAAAAGTTGTGTTGATGTTCTACATTTCGTTTGTATTTCTGAATACTGTGATTGTCTGTGTGTGCTTATGTGGTAATCAGAGCAACAGTAACAATGTCAGACTTCAAACACTGGTAACAATAACTGCTGTTCCACTGTGATGAGAAAGGCCTAAACATTCTCCAGAGAGCAGCCTGACTGGAACAATGAGCCTCGTATTGCCCCTGGTGGGGCAAATTATTATTATTATTGTTGTTGTTGTTGTTGTTATTTATGGACTGGTTGGCTAAGATTAATGGCAGGAAATTGATGGATGGCCTAATGACACACAAAGGAGAAATTTAACATTTCTTGGCTACTTTCTGGTCCTCATTTTTTCATGAAACACTTGTGTTACCTTTAGTGTCTCTAGTTTCCTCTATAGTTAGCATAATTACTTCTGGGTCTTTAATGCTTTATTCCTTCCCCTGTGTTAGACTCCAGTGACTGTTGCTATGTTTTGCAGGATCTTTCAACCTTGAGAAAATGCTTTCTTGCAAAGTGGTCAATTTTCTGTCTGCTCTGTTTGTTTTCGTCATCAAGGTACTCATCGCATTGAAGGCAACACTTCCTGCCTGGAGGAGCAAAAGCCTCCGACACCAGCTTCAGTTACATACAGTCTACTTCAACCAAAAGGCTGTAGGGGGAAAGGAAAATACAAGGGGAGATTAAATATATATGCCTGAGCGAGAAAAGTATGAAAGGTTGACTGAGGTGGAAGATGAGCTGGAGAGAGAGAAGATTGACCTCATGCTGACAGTGCACATCCCTGCAAGCTTTGGTCAGGTCTCAAAGAAAGCACTGCTGTCTTTACACTGATTTCCACAGCTGTTTGGTGGTCGACTGGAGCGACCTGGGGATATCGCATGTCACCCGTCTATAGTGCAACATGAGCTCAGACAGCGGAAAGTCAGGATGTCTCATTGAGGGGAACAATTGATCCAACAGTAAGTGTTGGAGGAAAACCAGGCAGGTCTAACCACATCAGACCAACTTTAACATGCCATATGTCAAGAGTCTTTCTGAATAATTCATTATTCTTCACATACTGAAATTAAGGACATTTCAATATCTTGATTTAAAGAAAAAAAACATACATTTTGAACATTTTCTAGTAGATCAAACACTATCTCTAATGTGTGTGCGTCAGATACAAAGAGATACATGAAAGACAAGAAACATCTACAGCTCCACAGGAAGGGGAAAGGAACTGTGTTGGCTAAAGCTGGGACTCCAAGAGGAAATGAACAAGCGTGTTGCTGGTTATGTGATAAACAGTTGCTACAAATATCAACTCAACATGAAATTAGGTAAAGTCAACACATTTAAATTAGGTAGGACCGCAGGATTCCTGGATACTGGACAACAAAGGAGCTGCTTTTTTTTTTTAAGCCCGTCTTGTCTCGGATCTTTTGCTATCAGAATCATGATTTGAATGCACTTTTTATTTTGTTGTTCAACCCTATAAGATAAATTTTTACTTGGTCTCATTTTTTATCTGCCATTGCTTTGATCTTTTCCTGACTAAACCTTATTTGTGTTGCCATCATAATGGGAAAACTTAAGTCTAGGACACTTGAGGGTTTTAGATCTCTTTAGAAGTCTTGAAGCTATAGATGGGATTCTTAAAACCTGCTTAAGATTTTCTTGTGTTGCTATGTTATGAATGTCCTTAAGAAGTCCAAATATTAACAAAAGAACAACTTAAGAAAAAATTAATTAAATCCCAGATTTGTATTTTACTAAGTCAGTGGGTACACTTCGAATCCCGATTTACATGTGCTGAACTAAACACTATTGGATTGAGGAATAATGAAACGGCGCTGTTTCTCCCTTAATTGCCACAGATTGATGCAGAGCATAACCTGCACAGACTCTGCACACAGGATACTATGAGCCCTACCTCTAGGTTTACAGTTTCAACATTAAACTCAGTGTAAGTAGAACACATTTTTGCTCTGCCATGATTGAGCGTAAGATCAGGGATTGAAGATTTAACCTTTGGGCTATTAAATGACTTAGAAACAAACTACTAAGCTACCCTTCTGCTCTGCTCATGGCAGCAGTCTGTTCTAATGGTGGCAACCAAGAAACATCAAGACATCTTTTTGATGATGCCATTGATGCCATCACATTTTAGTGTTTATTCGGCTTTTGATTATAATGCCACAGCCTGTTCTACAAAAAAGCTGATGGGGAGCTGCTGCGAGGCACATATGAAGCACAGCTTGCTGCATCTGGATCTTTTTGAAACATCGTTCAGCTCACCTTGTAAAAGATCACATAATGGTGTGAATGCTTTCTGTGGCAGTAACAAAGGAATTCAGGTTTCAGAAACAGCTGTTAGTTTACAGCGGTGAGAATCAAACGAAAGCAGAGAAATAACCAGTGTGGGGCTTTGTATTTGTTATATTTGATCACGAAAAAGCAACATAGGTCGTTGGAGATGGATGTGTGGACATAAATACTGTGTTGATAGTTGCAACTACTGCAGCTGTTCTTTATGTACAACCTGCCTTCTAAAATTTGCCAGCACAAAATATGGCCAAGGCAGCAGTTTTTTGTTTATCTTATAGAGAAACTGTGTAAAACTTTAGTGGAGAATATATTGGAAGGAAAAAAACATGGAAATTACTACTCCACTACCCTCCTTAAACAAAGAAATAAAAAATAAAACCATGCACAACACTGCAGAAGTTTACTAGAAATTTGCAGTGATGTATGCAGAAGGTTCAGGTCCTTAAATAACACGTCACTGGCAGTTTCTTAGATAACATTGCAAATACCGCCCATCATTCTTAGAATTTCTCAATCTTTTGAACATAAAACATACTGTACTGCATATTGTCTATTACTGTCTAAGGATCTTACCAGACTGTCCAGGTGGAGGTATTCCAGATGGGATTCTGGGCAGGTACAGTAGCACTGTGAGAACACCTGCTCTGCTTCCCCAGCATGGCTCCATGGCTATGGGCTTCGGCACTGCCTACAAACAGAACACACAGACAGGGACAAAAAGGATCAACACATTAAGTATGCAACAAATAGGCAGTGGTGTGATTTGTATGTACACAGTACTCCTATAGGTTAACAGAACAGCAAGCCAGTCAATTCGAAGGATGTAGCAGACATCCTCAACTCAAGCTGTGCTGCCTAGATCCCTGCTGCCAACATCCCTATGAGCAAAGCTCCCAGCTGGGGGAAGCAGGCTGACTGGCAGCCTGTGGAGCTGCACCTGCTGTGCAGCTGATTTAGATGGAGACAGTCTTATCAGGCTCTCCAGGTGAGTGCACAGAAACAGGCGTTAAAATATCAGCTGCACTGCCCCTTCTGCTAATGCCTCGTGTTTTTCTACAAGCCCCAAACACAGACACAGATTTATATATAAAAAACAACAACTTTGCTTCCTCTGTTTCCATTGATCCATCCATCAAGCAAGCAATCCGTAATCATCAGTTAGTTCTGCATTCAAACAGGTGTTGCGATTGATTTTAAATTCCTGAACACAAACCTTTACCTTATTTAACCACATATGGTATAAAATGAAAGCTATGAAGTTTTAAAAAAATATAAGGACACCACATCATCCCTGTGCAGTCCCACTAGGACTCACTACATGTAGTTTTCCTTACTGTCTGTGTAATACCTAAATGTCTAATAGAGTTGTGTTTCCTTTCATCTGAATACACAACAAGGATAAGAGTCACTGATATATTGATCTGGTTTGACCCGCCTGCTGCACTGTACCACAGAGGTCACAGGGATGGACTCTGTGGGAAAGTGGCATGCTCACATATTGTATGCATAAATACATAATTTTCTTATTACAACTTTTTCTTTCAATTTATTGCCTTGTTTACCCTTTCTCTCTGCTTTTTCTGATCCATCCTCTTTTCCGTGTGGAAATCGGGAGACAAGAACATTCAGAGAATCTGCAAATGCAGTCTAGTTTTTGTGTTTTAATATACACTATTCTGTGTTGTTACTTTTAAAGAAAATTTAAACTGAAAAAATCAAAAAGAAAACTGAAATACAGTAGCAGTTTGATAAAACAAATGAAGACAATATATGTATGGTATACAACGCTGCCCTAGGGCGCTTCTGTCAGTGCGCCCCACGGCAGCTGTGGCTACAATGTAGCTTGCCATCACCAGTGTGTGAATGGGACTAAGTAAAGCGCTATACAAATGCAGGCCATTTAACATACAGTGCTATGCAAAAGTATTGAGTATCTCATTACTTCAGACTTTGCTTGGAAAATGGGAAATATGCACATCAATTTTTTTAAAACACACTGAAACTTAGTATTCAAAGTTTTTTTTACCTCAAAATTCTACATACAATGACCCATACTGAAAAAACTTGCTTGATTTCTTTGCAAATGTATTTACAATGAAAAACAAATAAAACCTGTACATGACTATTCACAGTCTTTGACATGAAGATCAGTTGAAAATTGCAAATTAAGCTCAGTATCATCCTGCTTCTACTGATCAGATATTAGATGTTTCTACAACTTGTAGTCCACTTCAGTATATTGGACATAATTTGGATGGTGTGCCTGTCTTTATAAGGTCCCATAGTTGACAGTGTATGTCAGAGCACAAATGAAGCCATGGAGTCCAAGAAAAAGACCAAGACAGGATTGCATCGAGGTACAGAAACAATCTGTAGCATTGAAGGTCTCAGTGAACACAATGGCCTCCATCATCCACAAATGGAAGGCGTTTGAAACCACCAAGACTTTTCCTAGAGCTGGCTCCAAAGCCAGTCTAAGCAATCAGGTTAAATGGGACTTAGTTGGCAAGTGAAAAGGACGGTCACTCAAGCGTTGTTCAGCGGAGAGAGGAGAACCTTCCTGGAGAACAACCATTTCTGCAGCACTCCACCAATCAGGCCTGTATGATAAAGGCTCACAGAAGCTACTCCTCTGTAAAAGGCACGTGACAGTCTGCCTGGAGTTTTCCAAAAGGTGCCTTGAAGGACACTCAAATTATGAGAAACAAAATCCCCCAGTTTAAGGGTAGAACTCTTTGGCCTAAATGCCAAGCATCATGTCTAGAGGAAATTGGCAGCACTCATCACCTGGCCAATACCATTCCTAAATGAAGCATAGTGGTGGCAGCATCATACTGTGGGGAGGTTTATCATCAGCAAAAACTGGGAGACTAAAGATGAATGCTGCAATGTACAGAGACATCCGACTCCAGAGCGCTCTGGAACTCGGACTGGGGTTAAAGTTAATCTTCCAACAGGACAACCACCCTAAGCACATAGCCAAGATAACAAAGGAGTGGCTTCAATATCATTGTGTGATTGTCACAGACTTGAAGGTAAAAAACCTGAACTCAATTGAACATCTCTGGAAATATCTGAAATTGGCTGTGCACGGACGCTCCCCATCGAACCTGATGAAGCTTGAGCAGTACTGCAAAGACAAATGGGAGAAATGGGCTAGAAATAGGTGTGTCAAGCATGTAGCATCACAACCACAGGTTTTGAGAGTGTAATCGCTGCCAAAGGTGCTTCAACAAAGTACTGAGCACAGGCTGTGAACACCTATGTTTATGGTATGTTGTTTATTTTTCATTTGAGGGGTTGATCAAGTCATACAGAAAGTGACTCTTGACATTTGTGTTGCTAAAATTGGTTCTACAAATCATAGGATGTATTTAGTTTTTCACAGGACTGCTTAGAGATGTCTGCAAACTTTTCTTTCCAATGTCTGCACTTCGCGTTGGCTCTGGTGAGTGTTTTGCATAGCTTGGTTATAGCACAGTGAAATTTTGCAGAGTGACATGACTTTTTTTTTTTTTTTTTACAAAAAACAAACACATGGAAGAACATTAAATATTAAACACACAAATGCTGAATGCACAATTGCACATTGGTATAATACTGTGGTTAAAATGGGCAGCTCAAAGCACAACTCTGTCAAACTGAATAAATTCAAAACAGGCCGCTGTGAGAAAACACCATCTGTGCGTACAAAAGTAAATAAAGGTAGCTCTCCAACTATGGGATTACTACGGGTGACCTTAGATTCTAATAACTTAAAATTCAATGAGACTGATTTCAACTCTTCAACGCTGAGTACAATGTTTGTATGTTAAACACTGTAAATATAAGTAGTGGGCAGCACAGTGGGCTTTTATCAAAAAAGTGATCAAATTAACAGAGCACTTGGACCAGCTTGGTACAGGACACACACACACACACACACACACACACACTCCCCTGCAGTGCTAATAGGTTTAAGTGCTGGAGTGTACAGCGTAATTAGAAGCTGGAAGCTCCTCTATTTGTTTAGTGTTTCCAGAGTGTCAGGAAATGATGAATACTCTGCTAACTAGAAAGACACATGCACACACTTAACTGAGTTTGTAACTACCACTTCTTATTAGCAAACACTCTTTGTCCTGATTGAGATAATACACAGACAAACAAATGAGTCATTGTTCTGCTGAGGATTGTTAAGTGAGAGGTTGAGGAAGATAATATGGGAAAGAAAGGAATGGCATCAAATGAACAACAGGTGCTTGTTAGACCTGAAAATTACACTTGCATACTTCACTCATCAACATATATCAAACAGCTCACTTTTATTTATTCCCTTCATTGTGGTTTATACTTTTACCTGAATGCATCATTTCCAAAGCAACAGCAGCCCTTCTGACTCTGTGTGTGTGTATGTGTGTGTGTGTGTGTGTGTGTTTGTATAGTTATGGCCCACTAGTTTCTTTAATCTGAGATGCATAGACTGCAACCCACAAGGAATGAGAACACACACTCGCAATCATGTTCGCATTACATCTTGTTTACGAGACACTATTTCCCCCAGGAAATTACTCGTTACTATTGCATGGGGTCATTAAAATTCAAACGTAAGGAAACAGTAAAAATATCTTCAGAGTCACGTAAAGGTCACAAGCACATGTGTTAGGAGCACCTAGTATAAAATATAAGAGGTAAGAAACAAGTTTTGCTTAAGAAAATGTGGTATTTTCTACTTTAACTATGGCTTAAAATCCTTTGGGAACTTCACTCAATATGCACTAAAGTGTCATAAACAGGCCAAAATAGAAAACACGAAAACTTTTACTGTAGATTTTCATCTGTAAGTGATATGACTGCCATTTTCTGGCATGTTCTGATGAAGAAAACACGGTGAAAACATCAGTGTGTTTGTTGACTTGGCCAGAAATTAAAGTGTTAAAAATAAATTTGGTGGTCATGCCAGAGCAGTGGCAGTGGGGTTGAAGTCTAGACTTTGACTGGTTGTTGTAACACCTTGATTCTTTTCTTTGGCTGCAGTTCTTGGACTCATCGTCCCGTTGTGTCCCATTTTGGGCAATACGTTTGCTGTTGGACAGATGGCCTCACACTTGATTCGCACTGCAGGCCTACTTGTTGTTCCTAGAGTATTTAAAAGTAGAATGGGAGGCAGAGCCTTCAGTTTTCAGGCCCCTCTTCTGTGGAACCAGCTTCCAGTTTGGATTCAGGAGACAGACACTATCTCTACTTTTAAGATTAGGCTTAAAACTTTCCTTTTTGCTAAAGCATATAGTTAGGGCTGGACCAGGTGACCCTGAATCCTCCCTTAGTTATGCTGCAATAGACGTAGGCTGCCAGGGATTCCCATGATGCATTGAGTTTTTCCTTTCCAGTCACCTTTCTCACTCACTATGTGTTAACAGACCTCTCTGCATTGAATCATATCTGTTATTAATCTATGTCTCTCTCTTCCACAGCATGTCTTTATCCTGTCTTCCTTCTCTCACCCCAATCGGTTGCAGCAGATGGCTCCGCCCCTCCCTGAGCCTGGTTCTGCCGGAGGTTTCTTCCTGTTAAAAGGGAGTTTTTCCTTCCCACTGTCACCAAAGTGCTTGCTCATAGGGGGTCATATGATTGTTGGGTCTTTCTCCTTATCTATTATTGTACGATCTACTGTACAATATAAAGCACCTGAAGGCGACTGCTGTTGTG